GGATCGTGGGGGGCGGGTCCCCAGAGAGAGACAGGCCTCAGTCCTGGCAGGATGGGTTTCAGTCTGGGAGGGGTCCTCCTGGGCCTGCCCACCTCCACCCAGAGGCCCCGGCCCTTGGCTGCAGAGCCCCTACTGCTCCAGAGGTTAGCAGTGGCTCTGAGGGCACCTTTCCCTCCTCAGGGCCACTCTTGTTTGGGGCAGGCAAAGCAGAGAGTTTGGTTTATTCACTTAGAAAAAATTATGGGGAAATTTTGCCACACGTGTCTTCTCAAGTGCAGAAGCTCACAGTAAGTGGCGATGGACCAAGCACTCAGCATGGGAGCACTTGGTTACTGAGCAGACTGCCCCACCAAGGGGCTGTTCCCCCAATTCTGTCATTCTCCAGGCTTTTCTGAGCTGCCCTGTGCCTGCCTCGGGCCTCACTGCCTTTTGAATTCGTTCTAAAGTCACATGGGCCAGGCTGGGCCCCTCTCGAGTGTCCTGCCCAGCACTTATTTTGGGCAGTTTATAGATGGCCGCGTGGCCAACATGACTCCACTGGGTCACCCTGGAGACGCCACCCCAAGAGCATGTCTCTATGTCAGACAGAAAGTGCTCTGCCCTCCCTCACTGCTGGCTTTCCTCCTGTCATTTCTTGACTGAGATGTTTAAGTTGGAAAGCGGGATTGCTGACACATTGATTCTATGCTGTTGCTTCTCCCCCTGCAGTGTCTCAGGAGAACCCATGGGGTTGTGTGGGGAAGCGGGGGCTTAAGGGAGGCTGGGGCACTTAAGAGAAACTTACCTGACGAGACACAGCTTCTGGCACCAGCAGATTTGCCATCAGGGTCAGGCCATGATGGCCACGGAGGCCAGGCCACTTGCTGCTTTGAGGGCTGTGGTAAGGCTGTGTGGGGGAGAAACTCCCCTTGCAGGACGCGGGCGCCGCAGGCGCTCACCGCAGCGCTGCTGTCTTCCGGGCACGATGCCGCGCTGGAATTCTCACTCACACTTTGCTCCCTGGGAAACGTTGTTTATTGCACAATCATGTAAAAATTCCAGCAGAAAAATGTGTAGAAACGGGATGTACAAACTTGTTAGGGTAATTAATATAGTTGACAGAAGGACAAATCGTGTTTTGTTAGTTGACACAGATCCAGCAGAGTGTTCTTTTCGGAAGAGCCTA